TATCCTTTTATGTGTATAAATTCAACTGGTATTTAGGAGTGGTATTGATTTTCATGTTTTATTACTTGCACATTACATTTATCATTATTTCTAAACTACTTACGTGATTTATATGGGTTTTGATAGCTACTTTAATTTATTTATTGATCCAGTCGTTTATCTATACTAATAATAGAGGAATATGCAGATTGTCCTGGACGCCGTCACAGTAACAGTAATGACTGAACAGCAGGCTGCGTGGGACGACAAGGCCAGCAGGGGAGTTAGTGAGGGATGACCAAATGACTGGGCAGCAGGTTGTGTGGGGTGGCCAGGCTGGCAGGGGGGCAGTTGAGGGCAACCAGGCAGGCAGGCAGAGGCCATTAGGGGTAATCAGACAGGCAGGCAGGTGAGAAATTTGGAGCCAGCAGTCCCGTATTATAAGAGGAATGTCTGACTACTGGTTTAGGCCCGATCCTTTAGGGGTCTCAGATTGGAGAGGATGCAGTTTGGGCTGAGGGGACCTCCCTGTGCATGAATTTTGTGCACCGGGCCTCTAGTATTAAATAATATGTCAATTCCATTTTTGCAATGGTCCTTTAAGGTATAAATGGTTCTTATCCATAGTAAAGTCTAGGTCTGAGATATCTACTCCCTCTTTGTTTTGGCTACTAATCATTGGGTCTATAATTCAATACTTTATTATAGTATTTTAAAGTTATGTATTAGGTTATTCATTTGTCAAATAAATTAATGCCCAACAGGCATATAGGTCTTCCCCTTGGTGTTTAGGTTCACTACTAACCCAGACATCTGGATGCCAATTTTGTTTTTTCTTGTTTGGTATAGCATATGGTGGGTAGTCTAAGAATAGATTTTTAAAATTCACCCTCATTGCCTATGAAATTAGCAGAAATCTCTGAAGCCAAGACTTTGGCATATGTCTCCTTACTTACAGTGCTGTTACAGTTAGTTCTTATGCATCTGGGTGGGAATTTTCTTAATAGGCTAGGAGAAATTAATAAAGGCCTGGAGAGTTTGCTGCTACATTAAAATAAATTTAGATATGTTTTTTAAAATGCACAGCAAAACTTACTTATTTACAAGTCATTTGAATCTGTTTTTTCTATTAGACATAAACTATCGAAAGATTCCCCATTCAGTTAGGAGGCACAACCATGATTTTTTTCTTACCCAAAAGCTAATTCATTTTAATATGTATACTTATTTCTTTAAAAATCTTTTTATTTGAATTAAAATTTTATTTCATTTTTAATATTAGCCTCTCCGTCTATTTTTAATTATTATTCCAGTGGATACTCCAGTGGATAATCAGAAGCACTTTTCCATGACCACAACTTATGAACCAAAAAAAAAATATGGTAAATAATAGGAACCCAGAAATCACCTTCTGCTACATGGCAGTGCCATGCCAATACCCCATGCCAGTGTGTTAGACCCTAGCAGTGGCATAAAGCAGGCAGTTGAACAGGTCCTTTAGGAGAAGCCCAGTCTATGGGTTAGGCTCTTTTCTAATGTAAAAGGCCATTATTCTATCATTTCACTGGTGTTTCTGTCATCTACCATGTGACATCACTGAACTTTCTACAAGAAAAGCTTCTACCTGAGATGGTGATGGACAAAGTAGATAGTTCCCTCGTGACCTCAGTTTCACTAAAGGTGGATCTCAAAGGACCTCCTGCATTTGACATCTTAAACACCGACTCAATACCTGCACCCCTGAAGAGGATTCTGTTCCTTCTTTGGATACCCTCCCAACTAACCACGTAGTGAATCATTTATACATTAATCAAATTCCATGGAAATGTAATCTGTCCTTTTCTCCTCTGTGGTCACATTTTCCACTTTAAGTGGCCATTTAAATAGCAAATTTATCTTGTAAAATGGTTAAGATGAGCACATGTCATCCTCTTTCAAGATTCTTTCATATAATTACCCTTGAGTATATCAGCAGGCTTCTCTCCCT